AACGAGATCCACGGCACGGGCACTGTAGAAGGAGTACGAAAATAGTAGCGTGCCAGGATCGTATCACGCTCGCGGCCCACAGACGTGGATCTCCTTTCTATTAATAGCTAAATGAAAGGGAGCGATCCCGAGTCGGCCGTGTAGGCATCGTTCCGAGTCTTGGTGGTGTCCAGGCCCTGATCGCAGGACTTCAGAGCCGCTCAAGCCGTCGCGGACTCCACATTCCACCGGCAAAAGCTCTTCCGTGCGTGCCTGTTCAGAAGCATCTACTTGCTCGGCTGGTGCTCCGAGGCGAACCCTCATACACGTCATACACACGCGTCTCCCACCCACCCACATACACAACATTGCCATACACATTCACACCGCTCGAGTGTAAGTCTCTTTGATTGTTAATTCTTTTTTTTTTTTTCTTTTCTTTTATACAAATGTATGTGCTTCCATATATCTTCATATATATATATATATATATTGTCTGTTTAACTGCTTTCGATTCAGTGATATAGTATATTATTTACGCGTTCTCGCATTTTGAATCTTGAGCCATCATCGTTGTGTTTCCATTTCTATACGATGGGAATTTTTTCGAATCAGTGATTTCGCCGTGATGGATTCGTTATGCAGTGATACAACACGATTAGACGTCGGTGATGAAAAGATGAGAAAGAACATTTTCCTCGTCTTCGTTGCCGTTCCGTGGATCGATATATATCACGGAAGGGGAAGGAGGGGGTAGGAGGATTTGATGGAAGATTCGAGTGTGAAAGTGAAACTGGAAGTGAAGATGGAATTCTTTGGATCTTAGGAGGAGTGGAGGGTGGGGTGGGAATCGTACATTTTTTTTTTCTTAGAGGGGTAATCGTGAAAACTTGAGCTGGATGATATAGATAACTGTCATAACTAATATATAAATAACTATAATAAGAAGGATAATTGATCTGTGCACATCGACTTTTAAATACTCGTTTCCAAAGAGGATTTTACGAAGAAAAAAAACCTTTGTGCAAGTGGCGTCTGATCATGCTGTGACATTATCTACTGGGGCCATAATTTGAAGATCTCGTTCGTCTCTCTCTCTTTCTCTCTCTCTTTCTCTCTCTCTCGAGTTTCTGGATTTTCATACTTTCCAACGGAAGGGTAATCGAACAAATTTCTGGAGGATGTCTGTAACAACGTGATGGCGAACATGCCGAGTTTGGTCTCGTTTTTCCTTAATGTGCTTGTATTCGATGGGGACAATTATAATGTGACTGGTTAATCGTTTCGATTAAATTTAAAACGTCTCGATTGATTCGTGAATATAACTCATAATTTAATAAAAATATCCAAGGACATATAAAAAGAACCGCTGAATGAGCTTGAACAACAGAGAAACCGTAAGATACATCATTTTTACAAGTTTGTAAAAAAAGATACTTATAATTTTCCACACAAAACTTTTGATTTTTCTAAATTTTTTATATGATACGAATTTTAAAATTGAATATTTTATACAAATTTCAATGTTTCTCCACGATTTCTCGGAACTGGAAAATGTAAAATTCAAAGAAAATGGAATCTGCATGGAAAAATACATCGAAAATGTAGAATCGTTTATTCGATTAAAAATATAATTCAATATACATGATCTACAATTGGCAAAATAACAAAAATATCGATCTACGCCGTTCAATATTTTTCCATAGATTTACCTCTCTTCGCGTCGTATTACCATTTTTGGAAATACGTGTACACGAAAGTAAATTTTTCAATTCTTGAGATTTATAAATGAAGAGAGAAATCACTTCCCTTTCTCAACATAGGTAAAGGAGCGCGAATAGGATCGCGTCTGATAAATCATCGCCTATAAATGTATGAGCAATATCCCATTTCAAGATTCGATTATGACGTATGTGATTATATAATATTGTTTCCACTCCTACACCTCGTGTCAGCCATCGCACTGGACGTCTGCAACACCAACCACCGTGTCGGATAATTTTTCGAAAACATTCTGCAAGCACGAACAATTTTCTTTCAATCTTGAATCTCGTGAATTTCGATCCTTTCACGATTCGTTCGAAAAAAAAACTGTTCTGTTTCGAAACTCATGATGAAAGAATATCACGAGCGAAGGAGAGAAAAGAAAGAAAAAGGGAGAAAGAAAAACTTTATCGTGCGACTCGAAGGAAAAAAAAAAAGAAAAAGAAGAAGAAGAAGAAGAAGAAGAAGAAGAAAAATTGTGTTATCGAGATCGAAGTTTAATCCGTTCGTGAAAACAGGAAACGATCGGCAAGCTCGATGACGACAACGGCAACGAAGACGTTATGGAGGTGGAGGAAACCTCCATACAGAGCGAGGGGGGAAAAAAGAAAGAGAGAAAGAAGGGAGGAAAAAGGAGTAGAGAGAAAGAAAGAGAGAGAGAGAGAAGCCAATAAACGAATGACGGGAGAGAGAAAGAGAGAGAGAAAGAGTTAGAGAGAGAAGAGTAGAGTTGGTTTTCTAAAATTAGAGAGCGACGAGGAAGAGAAGGGGATGACTCCTTATAGAGCTTGCGACGTCGAGCTTGCGGCCAGGGTTAGCAAACTGGCACTCTCTTTCTCGTCTCAGAATATCAGATTACCTTTGCACCAGTGCATCGTCTCGCCCCTTCGACTTCTTCCTTTCTTTTCTAGCTTTCTCTTTCTCGTGGCGGAGCAAGGTTCGATTTATGCTCGACAACCACCCTCCTCTCTCTCACCCTCTCACCCTCTCGCCTTCCCTCTTCCTCCTCCCTCTTTTTCACCCCTCGATTTGTTTATTTTAAAATTTTTTCTTTTTTTTGTGAGAAGTGCTCCACCTCCATTCCTAGGAAAAAAGCGGACGATCGAATCGCGGATTTTTATCTTTTCTTTTTCTTTCTTTTCTTTTCGATTTATACCGATGATTCGAGTGTATCGACCGCGAGAGAAGTAGAATCGGACGAAGGGCCGATATTTCTCCCTCGTCGAAAGTGTGATCTCGCGAAGCTATTGTAAATTTTTCCGCCGGGAAAAATTCAGAATATCGAGAATAAAGCGACGATCCGATCGTTCCTTTCCTCCTCTCGTGTGAAAAATATCGTAATTTGAGATTAAGCAACCGAATAAGAGATCGTGAGGATATAACGAAGACACTGCCCACTGTTAAGGATAAATTGTGTTAATCGGTGGTTTTGTTTGCGTGTTGCAGTACCGTGACCACCAGCAAACATGTCTGACGACGAGGAGCAATACTCGTAAGTATTTCAAAATTTCAAAGGAAGAATCTTTCCAAGATAAATATTTCAATATTCGATATTCTCGACATTCCCTCTTCCACTTTTTTTAATTTCGTTTCTCGAGACTCGTTTCTCTTTCTTGATCAAACTTCCTCCTTCTCTCTTCTTATATACAATTTTTTCGAAGTGAAACAAAATTCGAAATTTTCGATTTTTTAACGAGCGAATAAATCACGAGAGAGGGAGAGAGAGAAACAAGTGCGTCGAGGAGGATTGATAAGTTGAAAGTTACGTAAGAGCACGTGTATCGAGCAATGAAATATCCATGAAATTGGAAGCTCTCGAAGCGGCGGGGAATGTCGAGGATATATCTCAGCCGAGCTTGAGTATATAAATTAAGTGAATATATTACGATATATATATATATATTTATATGGCCATCGAAGCGTCACATGTCGAAACATGTCGTCGATAGAATTCATGCTTAGTTCTTTCTTAGAGCCGATTTCCAGGATCGAGAATTTTACTATTCTCGATGCGACGATTACGGGTCAGGTTGCTACATAAGTCGAGGATTATCGAGATACCCTCCCATTCAATGTCGATCGTTGTCGATCATACAATGAACGATATTCAAGAAAAATGAATTTGAAGTCCACGTAAGATGAAGAATCTCGTCGTGATGATGATATGTGTCACTCACCCCCTTATTGTTTCGTACTTGTTCTCGTCAATATCCCTTGTCTGCCCTCAACCCCCCACCCCCCGAGTTTTATTGTTAAAAGTGAACTACCCCACCCCCTCGTGCCCACGTGTCTTTGTGTTGAAGAAATCGTGAATGTTCTTTTTTTCTCTTTTTTTAATCGTGCACACCCTCCCTCGATCGAATTGCTCGCTGAAGATGTTCTTTTCTCTATTTCGTTTTTTCCCTTCATCGCTCGAATTATTTTTCTTTTTTCAATAAACGTTTCGTTTCAACGAGAATCGTTATAAAGAAAAAAAAAACGAGATCACGGTCGATCTCAAAGAGATTTTCGTTTATTTTTAAAACGAGGAAATTCAACAGATATCCTAGGGGGGATGAATCATTGGGTTGGATCGAACGGTGGATCTATATTCAGTCGGGTGGACGGATGTGTCCAAAAATGTCATAATAAATTATCTCCGCAAATTTGTCCGTTTTCTTTGCTCAGATTGCGCCCAAATCGTAAATTTCACGAATAATAAATTATAGTATTTAACTCGATTATTTATTAACCGTTAATTTTGTCGTAATGAATGAATATCTGCAAATATAATTCACGTTTTTTTTCCATCAAAAACATCGGCTAAGCCTATTATTTCTAATATTTGGTCCTGTATTTTACATATTCGTTTCACTAGATCACATCAATCAATTATATTATTTTTAGCTACTGAAAATTTATTATTTTCATATATCGATTAATTAAATTGCATAATATACTTAATCGATTTAAATAGAAATAGAAAGAATACATTTTTCAACGAGTAATTCGATGCTGAAGAAATTTCACCTGCCCCTTAGCCCCCCCAAGAGCCCCCCTATTGTTGTTATTATTTTCTTTTTTAATTGTTCATTCGATAGCCCCCTTTACACAGCCCTTAACTACCCGTTAACTAACAAATACCGTTTTCCATTTTCTGTTTTACAGCAGCGAGGAGGAGGTGGTCGAGGAAACGTAAGTGTTTGCTGGCAATTCCTTAATTCCACGAGATCGTTCCAAAAATACATCTAACGTCCATGTTCTCTTATTTTCTCATTCCAGGAAGTAAGTTCCAGAGGCGTGTGCGCGTTTAAGTGTCTGCTACCACCGCGCAGTCACCAAGGAATCGTAGTTGTCGTTTTATAATCTCGATTTTAGATTTTACACTCGTTTAGAGGTTAACGGTTCGAGGCGAGAGTTCTTCCAATCCTGATTCGTTTCGTTCCTTGATTTTTTTTTTTTTTTGCTGCTTGTTCCGATAGAAATTTGGTTTTTGGACAATAATTCGATTTTTTTCTTTTTCTTTTTTTTTTTTTTTTTTTGCTGCTTGTTCCGATAGAAATTTGGTTTTTGGACAATAATTCGATTTTTTTCTTTTTCTTTTTTTTTTTTTTTTTTTAATTTCCAGAGAGATCGTTCTCGGTTTATAATTTCGTTCGAATTTTTGACATTAAATAATTTCGATTGATAGCTGTGAAACAATATTATTGAAATTGAAACTGTAAAAGCGTTATTGTTGCAAACTTATGTAATTTCGTACGATCATAGAAATACTAAATATTGCATGCAAGAAACATGAACCCAGTTCGAATTATTCGAGAGACATGTCTTTTTTTTTTACAAAAATAGGACTAACTGTTTGGCGCGGCCATCTTGTCACCTTGAATGCCGGTTTACACAACAATAAAATAGAAAACAATATTTCGTAATATATAATTCGAACGATATGTCGAAAACAAGTGATGATTCATCGCGATTATTTTATCGTAATTGCGATTCGATTCGAATCGTATTTTATCAATTACGATTTTCACGTTCGTGCCATTTTTTTTTCTTTTTTATTCCATAATTATTAAATCGTATCAAACGATATATATATATATATATATATATTCGATTTCTATCAACAAATATATAATAAACGTATTATTAATCTCCAATCATAGATTTTATATACGTCTACTTCGTAAGAGAAGTAGAATGGAGAACTTTTCGAAGGCAATAGCTGTATCGAAAAATCGTGTTCGTGCCTGAGAGCGATCTCTCTCGAACTATTGTTAAAATTAGAACAGTCGTGCTTCTCCCGCAAAAATAGAGCAGACGAATGGCGCTGTATCTTCGAACTTCGAGTCCTATATTAAATTCAACGATGTCGTTTTTTATGATGAAACGGGTCTTAAATCTACGCCAAACAATCCTATCGAGATTATACTTTAGCTTAATTTCGTTCGCTTGCGAACGCACGATTCAATGTTTTCTTCTCCGTTTTTTTTATACCCGTAATTTATTATCAAGTGAAACAATTTTTCGAGTGAATGTATCGAAGAAAAATATTGAATCGTTTCGAGTGAACCGACGAGAAATATCGTTGAAGAAGGAGCGCGCATTTCTTCGCCACGGGGCTGATACATATTTCTCGTCGTTTCCTCCCGTGTTTCTCTTATTTGGCAATGAAAAGAGAGCACTGTAGAGGAGGGTGGGGATGAATAATTATGCTCGATTCTAAGATTTCGATTTTTTTTTTTTCTTTTTACATTGACTCGAGCCGGTCATCGATCATTACATTTGTTTAGATTCAACAAACAAAATCGAATGAAAATCCTATCTGACTTTGGTTTATGATCTTCGTTTTTTTTTTGTTTTTCTCTCTGTTTTTTGCTCACAACTCCGTCTATAACAATCCATCCCTTCGTCTGATATCTCCACAAACAATACACAAAAAAAAATACGAATCGACCAATCGATCAAACCACCAATCACCATCGACCAAACGACCAACGCGGCGCGAATCGAAAAATCGAAAAATCAAAGGCAGCCGGAAGGCAGGAAGATCGAGTAAGTCCCTTGAAAACAATTCTACGCTCGCCTTGTATCTTGTTCAGGCAGCTATTTGGCAATGTTCACTTCTCGTCTTTTTCTCAGTATTCTCATTCTTTTCCTATCACTTCTCTTTCTCTTTCTCTCTCTCTCTCTCTCTATCTCTATCGCTATCTCTCTTCCTCTATCTTTCTCATTTCTTCATTCTTCTTTCATTTTTTTTTTTATTTTTTTTTTTTCCCCTCTTTCTTTTAATCGTTTAACTGTTATTATTGTTGTTGTTGTGATTGTCGTCTTGTATTTTATACAAGTTTTTTTTTAGTATATTATTTATTCGTATGCGCTATTTCGTCTCTTTGTATTATGCGATGTATTCTTTTTTTTTTGTTTTTTTTTTTCATAGTATACAATCTCTTATACCACGAGACAAAATCAGTCTATGTTTTATTCTGTACTTTTTATTCTCACGCTTTCTATGGTTCATTGGTGTATTATTCTTTTTTTTTTTTTTATATCCAACGAGATAAAATTTTTTTTCGTCGAATTCTTTTTTTTTTTTTTTCCCGCTTTGTCGTCGATGCAACAACTGACGATTCTTTCTGCAAGAAACAACATATTCTTTTTTCAAGAATATTCGTCCTAATTGTTACCTCTTCTCTTTCTCTTTATACTTTCTCCTTCTTAAACAGAGAATATTTTTTACATGGACGCGATCAATTTTCGAAAATTCTCCGCGAGAAAAAGTTGATTTTTTTTTTCCCACCGATAATTGTAACAACGAGTCTTCCTCGCGAGTGAGTCAATTTTATTCGATTTTTATCGTCCAATTCTCGACGGTTCTCTTTTTTCTCTTCTTTCTTTTATTTTCTTTTTTCTCTCCTTTTCGATCTCATAAAATTTCGCGTCTCCGACAGTTCTCTTTCTTTTCTTTCTTTCTTTTTTTTTTTTTTTT